CCTAACCCTAACCCTAACCCTAACCCTAACCCTAACCCTAACCCTAACCCTAACCCTAACCCTAACCCTAACCCTAACCCTAACCCTAACCCTAGGGGCTAGGCAAACTCTAACAGACTAATGATCTAAGTCTAAAGTTTCATCTTTCAAGATTCTAAGTTTGGTTTGATTTCGCGTGAATTTTAGCGCTCATTTTCGAGAGGGCTAGAATTTTCCTTTGGTGGGTAGGTGTGCTTGTTGCCTACGGCAATCAACAACGGCATGGCACAGGGCTAAACGTTGCAATGATGCCTGGTTGGTCGGTAGGGGCTAGGGCAGCATCAGCCGAGTGCGTTGCTGCGCACGACTAACGCCGAACGCGAAGGTAGCCTCAACCACGGCCTGGAACTGTTGTTGGGCATGGCGTTGCATGGAGTGGCTCGATTAGCTTTGCTCCAGCCAGACAAATCGCCGCGTGCGCTGCTGCTACGCCCTGATGGATGCCTTTGTCGATGGCCACCGCGCACGCTTGCGTGCTCCGCCCAGCCCGACTCGGACGCCGTCCACCAGGCCCGCGTGCACTGCTCCCAGCGCAGCCCTGCGAGAGCCGTAAGCTGATGCGATCGAATCGGCCGGCTGGCTGGCAGTCGTGCGTTCTTTGACATCTGATCTGAGTGGCACATCCTCGCAAGCTCTCGCCCAACGCTCACGCTATTGCCGCACACGACTCTCCTCCATGCCATGCTGACCGTTGGTCATTTTGTTCTGGATGCCCTCATGAGATCGACACAGCCATCGCACTCGTAAAGGCTTGATTGTTTTGGCACGAGCTGAGGCCGAGTCCGGTGGGTCAGTGGAGGCGCCTCAGCTACGAAGCGTGCCGCCCTGTGTAGCCCCATCTCGTTGTGCATTACCTCGTTGGGAAAGAGGGGGGCTGTTCAGCGTCCGTGCGATTTGCCAGGCGGCAAGGCGACAAAAGAGTAGCTATGCTTGGCTGAAAGTGATCCATCAGCACCGGCAACAGAAGCGAGATCCATGCCGTCGATACGGCAGCCAGGACGACGAACGAAAAGATGAGCCAGGAGCCGTTGGAAGCGATTGGGAAGGGCGAACGCACTCCATATGCGGTGATTGCCGCCGCAATCAGAAGAGCGAGCAAAGCTGTATGTGCCGCAATACCATTTGTAAGGATGAATGTAGAAGAGAGCGGGAATAGATTGTTGGGCTTGGCGGCTGATGCTCACCTGTCAATATCTGCATCGACGCCAAGACGTGCTGGAGCGTCAGCACCCATTGGGCTGCGGGCAAGACGAAGCAGAAGAGGCAAAAGCGGTGAGCGAAAAAGCTCTGCCGAGAGCGTGTGCCAAAGTATACTCACCAAAGGCACCTCGAGCCGAATGACATTCCGCATGAAAGAATGACGCAAGAGCAATGGCAACCTGACGAGCGCCGTCTAGTGGAGGATGGTCTGCCGCTGATTTGTATTTAATGCCAACGGTAAGCTCAGCCGCTAAACGAAGAGAGAGACACCTCCACATCCCCCGTCTCCACCCCTCTCCCGATCCCACCAAGCCCACCCAAACCATGACTCTGCTCTCGTCACTAAAGTCCAAGGCGTCCAAGTCAGACAGCGATTCGGACTCGGATCCGCCGCCTCGATACAGCCAGGTTGTGGACGACTACCCCAACGACAGCAGCTCTTCTGGCGGCTTTGTGCCATCGGCAACACTGCAAGTCGAGGCGATTGGGTACGATACGAATCAGGCATTGACCGGCAGGACGCTGGAAAACATCTCTGTCTTCCGTTTGGGCTGCAAAGATGCCGAGTACGTCTCGATTCGTCTCAAGAAGAACTCCAACTCGTGTGCCCTTGTTCGGGCCTCGGATGAGACTCCTCTCATTTCCACGGTCTACCGCTTTGGCCCTGGCAGACACCCTCGGATGCGCATTCTGGACTCGCAGAGCAAAGTGTCTGTTGAGGAGGCCATCAAAGACGACAATGTGACTGGCGAGCAGGTCGAGGTGAAGAGTCGCTCGCTGATCTCGCGAGCGCAGACCTTCGACATGTCGTTCGGCAAGTTCGAGTGGCGCTACGGCAAGCGCAAGGAGCGAGCAGCTTTCGACGCCGACAACATCCTCATCTTGGAGCGCACGGACAGCGTCTCACTTGCAGATGGCGGGCAGTCCAAGAGTGGTGCGCGCGTTGCGCACCTCATCCGCAACGACGAGTACCGCACCCCCGGCAGCAAGAAATACTCGGGTGGCAACGGTGGCCGCCTATTCATCGATCTGCGCATCTGGAGCGACGACAAGCACACCAACCTCGAGAGGGTCGAGGCATTCGTTGTGGCGAGCTCCATCTTGATGCTCAAGAGAGAGGCGGATCGCTTCATCGACAACCACATCGCCGCCGTGTCTTAGACACAACCCACGCAGTAATGGAATCATGCACCTCGTCGCACCAAGTCGATTGATGTCGGTACAGCGGATGAGCCGAGGAGGTTCGATTGGCTCGCATGTCAGATTGCAAGGTGGTGAGGTCATGATGTTGGGGCGGATGCGTCGTGGTGGTGCTCTGGTGGCGCATCTTGAGCGAGGCTGATGGCTGGCGCTTGATGGATGTGCTTGTCTTTGACTGCGCCTGCCTTTGCCTTTTGGATGAGCTCGTCGAACTGCGATCGATTCGACTTGATCCACGTCTCCTTTTGTTTGTCCACCTGTGCGGCGTGATCCTTGGCCGAGTACTTTGTGCGTTCCCAAGCGGCCAACTCCCGTCTGAGCTGTTGTGTGGACCGTCTTGCCTTGTTCGAGTCGAGGTTGGCGTTCCAGAGGTTGATCCATTGGCGGTGTCGCTCCACCATCCTTTCTCGGTCTCCCGATGTTGGCAAGCCGGCGTCGTCGAGGAGCTTGCGTAGTTCGCGTTCGGAGCGTAGGTTGTACTGTGGCCGAACGAGTCTCTTTTCGTTGGCGCCGAGATCGGCCGAGGTGGATGCGGGTGTAAACCAGGATGATGGCTTTGCGGGTTTGCTGGCTAGACCGCGTTCCTCGAGAGAGGGTTGGGGATCGCCGGCTTTGCAGGTGATTGTGTCGAGATGGCGGTCGAGCGCCGAGACGGTGAACTTGTGCGAGCAGATGGGACACTGGACTAGATCGTCTGCTTTGAGTTGGCGGTCGTGCGACGAGTCGTCGATGTAGTCTGAATCGTCATCGTGCGATGCGCGCCGTGTGGTGTCTTGGATGGGATCGTCGTCGTCGAGGATGGTGAGTGGAGACGATCGTGATCCTGTGGAAGCTTCTGCGGGTGCGTCTGTCCTAGTGCGTTTGGACCTTCGCGGGCTGGTGTTGGTGCTGGTCGAAGGCTGCGGTTCTGGGCTGCGTTTGGATGACGATGCTATTTGTTGCTGCTGCTGCTGCGGCGGCGGCTTGTCCTGCAGGCGCGCCAGGAACGCTCTTGCCTTTTTCCATTCGAGGGCGGTGACTTCGAGCACGGGTTGGGGGATGAGTTCGGAATCGTAGGCTTTGGTCTGCCTGCATTTGGGGCAGAAGCTGCCGGTGTTGCCGGACTGGTTGATGTGTGTGCGGATGCAGGCGGAGCAAAAGGTGTGGTTGCAGCTCTTGATCGAGACGGGCGAGGTGTAGATGTCGAAGCACAGATCGCAGCGCAAGGATGCGTCGAGGTTGCGCAGCGCCGTAAAGTCGTGACGCCAGTCGGAAGGGTCGGTGACGTCGTCCATGAGCGCTGCCACCGTTGTTGGCGCCATGATTGCGAAGACGGTGGCTGGTCGGTGTGGTGTGCGGAAGGCGAGCGGCTTCGCTCCTCCACAACCGCCGCCGCCACTGGCTCCGAAGATGTGACAAATTGCTCAGCTTGCGTGTGGAGCGCGTTGACTGGCGCATGGTGTCTGCTGATTTGTATGCAACAGACTACCGTCCAATCATTATTGGTTTCTTGGCGCAGTTGGTTAGCGCGTCTCCTTAACAATTCCGGTCTATGCGGATCGTTAGGGCTTACGGAGGAGGTCGCCGGTTCGAACCCGGCAGAAATCATTTTTTGGCGGTGCGAGCTCTAAGTGTTAGCCGACCCCCTCTTTTTTTGGCTTTTCGAGTGCCGGCCAAGAAGAGGCTGGGAACGGCGACGGAAGCGTGCCGATACTTCCGAGGCACGTTGCGTCTCAAAGCTGCGTCTCAAAGCTGCGTCTCAAAGCTGCGTCTCAAAGCTGCGTCTCAAAGCTGCGTGGAAACAGCGCGTGAGTCAGTCGACGTCGCGAGTCAGCCAGCTGGGCGTCGGCTGCGTTGGATGCGCGTGGGAAGTGAGGGAGCGTGGGAGCGTGGGAGCGTGGGGTGGCCGTTTCGGCGCCATCCGACACGGCCAGAGTGACCGTGCACCACACGCGTGCATTGGTGACGAGACCCTTTGTTGGGTGGGAGGCGTCGGGTGAGCCGTGCCAAGACGACCAAGCCAAACGCAACACCAACGCGGTCAGCCACGCTCCTCCCGTATGGGCACATGCGAATACCGCTTTGAAGGCCACTCGCAGCTCATCGACAGGCACACAGCATCCGACCGACAGTGAGAGCCGAGCGAGAGCGTGACTGAGACGAGACCACAAGCACAGATTGGGAATCCAGGCGCAATTTCCGCGCGTACGCTTGGGCCCGGCTGGTGCGGCGACTGCCACTGCCACTGCGCGTTCGACTCTCGCCCGCCTCGACGCGGGTCGGAAAAGGAGAGAAAAAAATAGGGTGGTCGTCGTTGTTGGCAGTCGCTGCGACGCACTGGCGCTCGAGATGCCTGATGGCGACCGACGCTTTATTCAACGCCCTTTTCGGCACGCGCCCGCCCAGCCCTGCCTGGCCCTAGCGACAGCGGCGCGATTCCGACTGCGATTCATTTGCACCCTCGACGGCGCGGCCATCGGATCATCACCACTGCTTGCCATCCCATCATCACCCCGCTTCCATCCTCGCTCGCCTTCCACTTTCTCTTTGGTCACCATCACACCTGGCGCCCGTCGTCGGCGCACCCGCACTCTGACTCACCCGTGCCTCCCACGCCCAGTCCCGCGTCTCTGCATCAGCATCAGCATGCCCCTCTAGCCATCACACTCTCGCCATCACGCTCTCACCATCCCTCATCAACCCAGCATTCGTTACCGTCTCTCAATCATCGCCGCACAGCACCACCATCATCACCATGTCGGGTACGTATACATCACCACCACCACCACCACCACCACTACTCCTAGTACAACCCACTAACCCACACCTCGCCTTGCCATCACAGCCTCTCCACCCGCAGAAAAGCCAGAGGCTGAGCATGGCCAGCCCTCCTCTGTCAACCGCCCGCGTCGCGACTCGTCGCCCCTCTCCGACGTATCCCAAAAGCGTCAGCTCAACCACAACCATGACTCCAACGGACGCCACTCCTCCAGCGCCGACGAGGACGGCGACGACGACGACGACCACGACGCCAAACCTGCTCATGCACAGCTCGACCGCATCAAACAAGGCTCGCCCGCCTCCTCCCGCAACAGCTCCCCATCCCGTTCCTCGGCCAAACCAGACCGAAAGCATCTGCTCGAGGCCGAAAACGACCCAGACCTCTACGGCCTTCGCAGATCCGGCCGTGCCAGCAGAAAGTCCTACACCGACCTCAACGACGACGACGTCGACGTCGACTCGGACGACGCCGCCGCCTCCGTCTCCTCCCGCCGTCGCCATCTAGTCAAAGGCGGTCGCGCCTCCATTCGCAGCTCCATCCACGCCTCCGACGATGACGACAATGCCAACGACCAAGACAACCATGAGAGCGACGACGACGCCGACGATGACGACGACGAAGAGTTCGGCCCCGCAAGGTCAAAAGCGAAGCGCAAGCAAAAGCGCTCCTCCGCCCCACGTCTCTCCTCGGCCGACCTCGAAGCATCGCGCGTATCCAGTCGCAACGCAAAGCGCATCCCCAACTACACCGACGACTATGCAGACCTCGGCGACGACGACCCCTTCGAGGACGAGGCCGACATCGCCGCCCAGCAGCACGCCCTCCAAGCAGGCACCATCGAGGAAGAGGACGTCATCGAAAGCATCGTCGGACACGAGCGTCACGAGGACCGTCTCGACGAGGCCGAAGACATCCCCACCCAAAACCTTCGCTTCATCGTCAAGTGGAAGGGCTACTCGCACCTCCACGACACGCACGAGACCTACGACTTTCTCAAACGCTACCGCGGCTTCAAGCGCGTAGACAACTACATCAAACACGTCTTCTACCGCCAAAAGGCGCTCCTCTCCGATCCGAACGCCTCGCGCGAGGACATCGAGGCGCTCCAGATCGAAAGGGAGAGGCAGGCCGAACTCATCGAGAGCTTCAAGACCGTCGAACGCATCATCGCACAGCGCAACAACGACGCCAACAAGGACATCCCCTACCCGCATCTCGCCTACCTCGTCAAGTGGAAGGGCCTCCCCTACGCGGACTGCACCTGGGAGGCCGAAGAGGAGATCAAGGAGCTCGCACACGACGCCATCGCAGCCTACCTCGCACGCTCCACCTCCACCCTCGTCCCCTGGCGCTCCCAGAACTTCTCCCAGGGCAGACCCAAGTACACGCGCATGACCGAGCAGCCCGCCTACATCAGCGCAGGCACCCTCAAGGACTTCCAGATGACCGGCCTCAACTGGCTCGCCTACCTCTGGTCCAAAAACGAGAATGGCATCCTCGCAGACGAGATGGGCCTCGGCAAGACCGTCCAGACCGTCGCCTTCCTCTCCTACCTCTTCCACTCGTGCTACCAGTACGGTCCCTTCCTCGTCGTCGTGCCCCTCTCCACGCTGCCCGCCTGGATGAACCAGTTCGAGCACTGGGCGCCCGACCTCAACGCCATCGCCTACATCGGCAACAGCGCCAGCAGAGACATGATCCGCGACTACGAGTTCGGCCCGCCCAAAAAGATGCGCTTCAACGTGCTCGTCACCACCTACGAGTTCATCCTCAAGGACCGCGCCGAACTCGGACAGATCAAGTGGCAGTACCTCGCCGTCGACGAGGCGCATCGTCTCAAAAACTCCGAGGCCCAGCTCTACGAGGCGCTCAACAGCTTCCACGCCGCCGGCAAGCTCCTCATCACCGGCACGCCGCTCCAGAACAACGTCAAGGAACTCATCGCCCTCCTCCACTTCCTCCGCCCGGACCAGTTCGACCTCGACGTCGACTTTGACATCAACAACGTCGACCAGTCCGTCATCAAGGAGCTCCACGAGAAGCTCGACAACGTCATGCTTCGTCGCCTCAAAAAGGACGTCGTCAAGGAGCTCCCCACCAAGTCCGAAAAGATCCTCCGCGTCGAAATGTCGGCCATGCAGCAGCGCATGTACAAGGCCATCCTCACACGCAACTACTCGCTCCTCAGCGGCGCATCCACGGCGCAGTTCTCGCTGCTCAACATCGCCATCGAGCTCAAAAAGGCGTCCAACCATCCTTACCTCTTCGACGGCACCGAGGCCATCTCGGACAACCGCGAAGAGACGCTCAAGGGCCTCGTCATGCACAGCGGCAAGATGGTGCTCCTCGACAAGCTCCTCGCTCGTCTCAAGGCCGACGGTCACCGCGTGCTCATCTTCAGCCAGATGGTCCGCATGCTCGACATCCTCTCGGACTACATGTCGCTCCGCGGCTACATCCACCAGCGACTCGACGGCACCATCTCCTCCGAGGTCCGCAAGAAGGCCATCGAGCACTTCAACGCCGAGGGCTCGCCCGACTTTGCCTTCCTCCTCTCCACCCGCGCAGGTGGCCTCGGCATCAACCTCGAGACCGCCGACACCGTCATCATCTTTGACAGCGACTGGAATCCGCAGAACGATCTTCAGGCCATGGCGCGCGCCCACCGTCTCAACTCCAAGTTCCACGTCAGCGTCTTCCGCCTGCTCACCAAGGACACCGTCGAGGAAGACGTGCTGGAGCGCGCCAAGCGCAAGATGGTGCTCGAGTATGCCATCATCCACCAGATGGACACTTCGGGCACCAACTTTGCGCCCAAGGGCTCGGCCAAGAATCAGCCCCAGTTCAGCAAGGAAGAGCTCGGCGCCATCCTCAAGTTTGGCGCTCAGAACATGTTCAAGAGCGAAAACGAGGACGGCCAGCAGAAGAAGCTCGACGAGATGGACCTCGACGACATTCTCTCCCACGCCGAGGCCCACGAGACCGAGGCAGACCCCACGGGAAGCTCGGCGGGTGGCCAGGAGTTCCTCAAGTCGTTCGCACAGGTGCAGGACTTCAAGGCCGACGTCAGCTGGGACGACATCATCCCGCTCGAAGAGCGCCAAAAGGTCGAGGAGGAAGAGCGCAAGAAGGCCGTCGAGGAGGCGGCCGCCGCAGCCAGCTCGTCGCGACGACGCGCCGCCGCCCAGGTGGCGCCCGGCGCGTACGACAATGGCGAGGGCGATGACCGTGCGACCTCGCCGGGTGCAGGCAAGGATGCTGCCAGCAAGCGCTCGCGCAAGACGGCCGCCCAGCGTTCGGTCGAGATGAAGGAGCGCGACCTGCGTGTGCTCATCCGCGGCATCCAGCGATGGGGCGACATCCGATACAAGACAGACCCCATCATCAAAGAGGGCAAGCTGCAGGACAAGAACCGTCAGGTGCTCTACCAGATCTCGGACGAGCTCGTCAAGACGTGCGAGGACGCAGTGGCCGAGCACAACGCCTTCATGAAGGGCAAGCAGGAACGCGGCGAGGAGATCTCGTCGGCGCTGCGCCAGAAGGCCGTGCTCATCTCCTGCCGTGGCATCACGGGCATCAACGCCGAGACGGTGCTCATCCGCCACTACGACCTGCGGCTGCTCGCCGAGACGCTCGACAACGTCGACGACCCGCTACAGTGGCGTGTGCCTTCGGAGCACCTCAAGGCGACGCTCAACTGGGCCGGCGGCTGGGACGCCAAGGACGACGCCATGCTGCTGGTGGGCATCTGGAAGTACGGCTTTGGCGCGTGGGAGCAGATCGAAACCGACCCGGACCTCAACATGGAGGGCAAATTCTTCCTCGAGGAAGGCAAAAAGGCCAACCAGGAGCCCCATGCTGCCGAGAAGGATGCGCCGCGCAGCGGCACCTCGGGACCGCCGCAGGGCAAGCCGCGACCGATCCCCAACGCCATCCATCTGGTGCGACGTGGCGACTATCTGCTCAAGGTGCTGCGCGAGTACGACGACAATGCCAAGGCGTACCAGAAGAGTCTGGCCGAGGGCGGCGGCAAGGCGACCAAGAAGGCGCGAAAGAGCACGTCGCCGACGCACTCGCCCGCGCCGACGGGCAAGGCGGGCCGAGGCGCGTCCAGCGGTGCTGCGGACAAGCGCCGACCTGCGCCCGTCTACTCGTCCGACTCGGAGGACGAGAGCGAGTACTCGAGCATGGACGAGGCCGAGTGCAAGGAGCTCATGCGGCCGTGCAAGAAGCAGCTCAAGCGGCTGCGCGACGGCACGGACGATCTGGAGCGCGACCAGAAGGTGTCGGTGCTCAAAGAGTGTCTGTCTGCGATCGGCGGCCACATTGACCATCTGCTCGAGACCAAGTTTGCGAGCCTCTCGCCCAAGGAGAAGGACCGCTGGTTCCACCACCTGTGGGCGTTTAGCGCGTACTTCTGGCCCAAGAAGGTCAAGCCGTCGAAGCTGCGTGCCATCTTCAACAAGCTGGTGATGAACGGGCCGACGACGACGACGGCGCCTGGCACTGCGGCGGCGGCTGCGTCACCTGCGCGTCCAGCGGCGGCTGGTGGAGCGGGATCGCCGGCTGGCGGCGCGCGCGTCAAGACGGAGCCAGGCGCGGGAGGAGCGAGCGAGAACGGCGGTGGACACGCGAGCGGCGCAGCGACGTCGATGGATTTCAAGCGCAAGGCGAATCCGCTGCAGGATGCGCCGATCCCCAAGAAGCCGCGCACGTCGATGCACGGCAACGGCTATGGCGGCTCGTACTATCCGCCGCAGCAGGGAGCTTACGGCGGATCGCATCCTCCTCCGGGACCGCCGCCGCCTCCGCCGCCCGCACACGCGTTTGGAGGAGGTGGACGTGAGTCGTACCCGCCTGGCTATGCCGATCGACGCGATTCGCCGTACCGCGAAGGACGCGATCGAGAGTACCGCGACGGCCGCTACGCCTACCCGCCGCCTCCGCCGCCCCCGAGCGGAGGAGGAGGAGGAGGAGGAGGAGGCTATGGCGGATATCAGCCGTACCAGCCGCCGCCGCCTCCTTCGCACGGCTACGACTACCGCCGATGATCGTGATTGACCCCCCGAAGTGCAATTCCTCAGTCTTGTTTCCACAGATGGGCCCGAGATCGTGCTTTGCAGAGTGAACGAGTAAGTGAGTCTGGACGTGGCTGAGCTGGAGGGGGAGTGGCGGGCGAGTCTAACACGTTGTGATTTTTTTGGAGCGCGATTGCCCAGTGTTAGTTTTCGGGACGGCGCTCGGGACTCGATTGCGTCGCGAGAGCTGGTCAGTGCCACGCCGGCCAGCAGTGCCAAAAGGCGGCGAGTGATGCAGGTCGGCGTGCAGCAACCAACACTGCAACCCACCACGACCCTAGCCTCTCCCCCGACCATCCAACCATCTCAACACCCATACCTCGGCTCTATTCGGCACACCTTTGCTCGCCAGTCGAGCTCTCAGCGAGTGCGAGCCAACAGCCCGACTTTTCGACCCACTTTTCGACGTCTCTAGGTGGTGGACACGATGGTAAAGGTGACGGCGGCCTAGCACAACTATGTCTTCGCCATGGCTTTCTGCCTCGGATGCGCAGCATTCCACCGCGGACGACAACGCGTGGGCCGCCACCGCCGCATCGTCGAGTCAGCAGATTTGTAGTCGCAAGTCGTCGTTTCAAACAGTTTCCAGGCCAGACGGCGTCGACGATCCGTGGTCTGACCGGCAGCCCAGCACATCCAGTGGACAGCTCCGGGCGCGAAAGTCGTTTCTTACTCCATCAAGGGCGGAAGTTGTGGATCGGCACCCGCTTCGATCGCCGTCTCCAGGTCAGGCAGGCGCGCGGCCAGAAGCAACAAGAAGACCATCGGCAGTAGCAGCCGAGTGGAAAGCCATCAGCAACGGCCTTGCAGGTTTATTCGGTGGATCTTCTACCAGCACAGAGTACAGCTGGCCGCCAGATCCCTCCTCCTCCTCCCAAATCCACGTCGACGACGAGGCCAACAAGGGCCGCGTCGAATCCACGCTCGGCAAGCTTGAAAACTGGTTCGGTCTCCAGCCTCCGCCCTCGCAACGCGCTCAATCTGCATCTACATCTACATCCGCTGCCAACGAAAGAAGGGAGGTAGGAGATGGACAGGTTCGAGTCTTGATCCACCCGGTCTCATCAGGAGACACGCTGGCTTCTTTGGCGCTGCATTACGGCGCCGACATCCAGGTGCTGCGCAAGGCGAATCGGTTGTGGCCCGGTGATCCCGTGCAGATCCGCAAATCGATCTACGTGCCCGTGGACAGCTGCAAGCATCGGCCGCCAAACGCAAACATTAGGGTGATGCACACAAAACAAGGCGCCGTCGATCCTACGCTGGCATTTGTACCAAAGGAGGACGACGATCTGCTGACCGGCACGCCGGTCGAAGAGTTGGTTCCAGGCTTGCCGGGCGGTGCGGATCCGGTAGCATCCTTTATGCCGGAAACGAACAAAGCCTATTCCCAAGAGGCGTTTGGAACGTCGCTTTCTCGAACTGGCTCGGTCAAGAGCTTGACTCCCGCGCTACGCGCGCTCAATCAAGCACACAGCTCGAGCGCAGGCGGAGGTGCAGGTGGAGGTGCAGGCAGGGATGGTGGATCGAGCATAGCAGCGTCGGGAACCAGTGGTGGGTTCGTGCCGCCTCAGCAGCCGCTGCATGTGGCCAAAGTGCCAGCGGACCAGCTGCGCTTCTTCCCCACCGACGCACCCTCCACAGCCGGCAAGAGCGGCATCGACGATCTGCTAAGCACCACGCCCAACGGTGCAGAGAGACCCACTCTATCCCGTGCCGTTTCGAGCAGTACGTCAGCAATGGACGACGATGAAGAGTGGAAGCCCAACACGTGGCACTTTGGCCGTCCTGCCACCAACACCACCAGCACCAACTCGAATACCGAGGCAGAGGGATATCGTGGGTGGAATGACGCTCCTCCTCCCTCGAATGGCGTCGTAGCAAGAGCATACACTCAACCGCGGCAGTCGCACCACCGGCTGTTGGACGACCTCGCAGCGGGCTTACCTGCCAACCCAGGCGCAGCGAGCAAGTGGGCGCGTCCGATCCAATTTGGTGACTCGCTACCCTCCAACTCCACCACTACCACCGCCGCCGCCAAGGAGAGAAAAGGCGGGCTAGGAAGATTGCTCGATGATACGATCCGGGGCAGGATCAGTGTGGAGCGCGCATTGGGCAACGCATTCGAGACGACGTCGAGACAGCTAGCACCGCCAAGGCCATCAGCGGCATCCAGGCCACCACCAGCATCCAGACCACCGCCCCCAGCAGCGTCGCAAAGCTCGGGATTGCAGGATGCACCGATCGCGGCAAAGGTGGATGGTGGCGTCATGGATCGAGGCGGCTCGACAGTGGCCAGACGCAACCGCACAGACTGGACAAAGAGCAAGGACGATTAGACGCAAGCACCGACTCAAGAGTATCCGCATCCCATCCGCACATCTGCCCATTCGCATTCGCAAATCATACACTGTGCACCTCTTGTGTCCTCGGTACCGCGGTCCTCGTCCTGACTTACTGAGGTGGTGTGCGCTGTGTTCGCGCGCGGGAGATGCGGCTAGGCGGTGCGGAACGCTGGTCCAACGGCGCGTGTGCGGAATCCTAGTTGGGTCGGCGAATTAGCCGGCCAGTGAGCCGCACTGAGACTGTTCCGCATCGCCCGTCATCCAACCTGCACGCAAAGCACTGCGCAGCTTACGTTTGAGCGACACCAATCGAGCCCTCGCCACTGAGTCTGCTATCCAAGGGTGCGAAGCGCAACACAGGAGCGCAAGGTGAAGCGAGAGCGCGGCCGAAGGTGGAGCAAATGACTCGGAAGAATCAATTCCGAAGATCCGGCGGAGTGCGCGGTGGGACAAATTTGATTGCCGAAGGTACGGCACTCATCGTCTGGAAAGAGGACCTTGTTGTACCACCACAACACCCTTCCGCTTTATTCGCATCGAAGCTTCGTCTCGAAGCAGGTTCTGATCATTGAGATCCTCCATCGTGCGACTCATCAAGAGCGTATTCGTCCAGCTTTGCTCTGCATCGCCCGTGCCACATCGGAGACCAAAGTTGAGGCCGCGGTAGATCGGACCGCTTCTCTTCGCACACATAAGCTCAGCTGAACAAGTCCTCAAAGCTTGACCGGTTGGCCCCCGCCTCTGACAAGCTCCGTTTGTGCACTCCGGCCTTGCACGTAGCTTCATCCACAAGCTCGTTCGGCTCGCTTTGCTCTAGCCAGACCATTAAGCAACCCCCCCCCCCCACTGCACTTGCAACCGGACACGATGACTCGACCGGACGGCGCCGACTCGGCCGTACCTTCAGCTGCATCGCACGGCATCAAGACCATCTCGACTTCTGCATCCGTGACTTTGCCCAAGCCGTGCATCCTTCTGACCGCCGAGCAGCGCGGCGCACTCTCACTCCGTATCTTGCGTCACACTCGATCCTCGCCTTTGCCGGATGCCGACATCCTTGCCTTCCAAGCGCTGGTCAACGATTCGTTCCGTGGTCCGTACCACGACGAAAACTTTGGTGGAAAGTTGCGATACCCTACGGCCCGGGAGCTTGTTGATGATCTCAACCACAGCGACGAAGGAGGCTGGGTGTTTATGCTGTCCACCGCCGAGGGAGTTCCAGTAGCGGGAGCAAAGGTCACCTTCAGTGGCGTAGGGATGGATGCAGGTCCAGGTATTCATACGCTCCCTAACCCCACTTACATTCCGGACGATGCACAAGGCAAGCCGGTCTTTTGGCTAGGTGCGCTGGGGTCAGTTGCTCCGGGCACAGGATCGGCGATCATTGCACATATCAAGAAGTTCTTGGCGGAATCCTATCCGCACGGATACGTGCTCAAGGCGTTTACCGTGGCAGAATGGGGTGTCAACCCAGACTTTGCGATTCCACAGGACTCGCCACTGGTGACGTTCTTCGAAAGACAGGCGTTCAAAGTGAGCGAATACAGTTGGAAAGCGCCAGGAACCTGGGACAGCTTCTACGGCGGATGTCTTGCGGCGATAGAGTACGTCCACACGCCCTAGAACTCCAATTTGCAGTTGAAGAGATGCAAAGTAGAGACACGACTGTGCCAATGCGTGTAAGAGAGGAGCGAGTGGCCCACACACATAACGTGGCGCACGACTGTCAAAGGCAACAAGGATGGATACAGCGCACATCCACGTCGGCCGTCTCCCTCGGCACATGCGGGAAACAGCATCGCGCTCATGGCTGTTGCGCCAATCAAGATTCGTGCGCTCGAGGCCAAGAGCGGCTGCGTGTGCGAGAACGAGTGTGGTCGCGAGTGCTGGTACAATTCCCACAGCACCAACGCCAAGTAGCAGCATGTGCGAGAGGAAAAGGACCCAAGTTGCCTCGCGGCAACACATTCACCAGCCCATGCACACTAGGCTCGAATCACAATGTCAAGCCTCGGCGCCACAGCTCTTGGACTCGTAGTACCCGACTGCTCAATTCCAGCATCCTTCGGCAGCATCGACACAACCCGGCAGCCGCAACGGACCGAGTAGATGCGGGGTGGCAGGTGTTGCTCTCCGTTAAATGGGTCCCTTTTCGAGGCTCCCTTTTTTACTCCGCATTTCTCGCCGCTTTACTCTCGCGAGAATCTCGCAATTGAACTGATTCTGAAGGTACGACACTGTCGCTAACACCATCAGACGAAGCGCCTCTTACGGAACACAGAGCCGTGCGCGATACGAGGGCAGGACGGTGGCTTGAACATGCTCTCAAGCTCTTATGGGCAAAAGAGGCAAAAAAGGCAAAAGAGAAATGCTCCGTACTGGGCTCGAACCAGTGACCTTCCGTTGTAAATACTCAGCTGTGCTGAGGCACCGTGTATTAGACGGATGCGATAATCCAACTACGCTAACGAAGCTTGATGTCTACCAAATTCAGAATTGCGTCCATGACAGCAATACCGTATTGGGTCCACAACAACGCCTCTCGTCGCTCCGGTTCTATCGGCGTAATCCTTCACCGGCCTGTCGAGTGTTTCACAGGACGCTGGGTGCAGTGACTGGTGAAAGATCAGAGAGAAGGTTTTTCTCAGGCGCAAGATCCTTGCCTAGTAGCCAGATCGACTCAAAGACCAGGTCCGTAGGATCCGAAGCAGCACCGGCGAGCGCGCTTGGCTGCCAAGTGTGCGCATGTCCATCTGGAAACAGAGTGTTGCTCTCACATCTCGGCTGGAAAGCGCTCATAGAAGCACAGGGGATGCATTGGAATTGACGACGAAAGATCTAGGCGAGAGGGGTCGTCGTCGGTGTTGTTGGGATTCGGCACGCTTAAAGAGCGGAGGCACCGGTGATGATGTCGACGAGGTCGTTGGTGATGGCGGCCTGTCGACCGCGGTTGTAGATCATGTTGAGGTTGGAGATCATGTCGCCGGCGTTCTTGGAGGCGTTGTCCATGGCGTTGCGCTTGGAGTTGATCTCGGAGGCGTGTCCCTCGACGAGGGCGGCGTAGACGGCGTTGGCAAAGGCGAACTCGGCGAGGTCCTTGGTGACGTCGTCCTCCTGCTCGTAGAGCTTGAACTGGGTGGCGTTGCGGAGCGCGTTTTCGGAGAAGACCTCGATGACGTCGGACTCGAAGGAGAGGGCCGAGACGTACTTGTTGTAGATGAGGTTGACCTTGTCGAACTTGATGCCGGACTTGATGATCTGGTCTGCGATGGCGGTTGCGTCGGCGAAGGTGGGGACGTCCTTGCCGATCTGGTTGAAGGAGAGCGAGATGTTCTTGGGGAGCGCGCGGCCGAGCTGGGCCTTGGACTTTTCGCCGAGGACGATGATGGCGGGGCCCTCGGAGGAGTTGGCGTCGCCGGCGGCGGCACCGATCTTGTTGAACTCGGCCTTGGTGCGCTTTGTGACGGAGGAGTGGATACCGCCGCAGAGACCCTTGTCGGAGGAGACGACGATGAAGAGCTGGCGGCCACCCTCGGGAGCGACGGCCTCGGAGTTCTTGAAGATCTCTGCGGAGCGAGCAGAAGCGGGGAGGGTGGGGATGTTGAGCTAGAGTGTCGGATGGAGCCGCGTGCGGGTGGAGGAGACTACACTTACCGTTGTTGGCGTCACCGTAGGCCTTGGCAGCGGCCATGGCGCGCTGGGCCTTGTTGAGCTTGGTGGAGGCGATCATCTTCATGGACTGTTCAGGCGAGTCGATGCGGAATAGACAGCGCGCAGAGATCGGATGTCAGAACGGTGCGCTGAGGATGTGGTGCGGGGTGGGATGACCGCGGGATGTAGGAGCGGCTGCAAGGGCGGAGTGCGGGTCGGTCGTAGAAATGCTGGTTGGGGAATGCTGGTTGTATGGCGCTTGGCGCTTGGCGGAGAGACGGCGTGATGCGATGGTAACCTACCTTGGTGATCTTTTCGATGTTCTTGACCGACTTGATGCGCTGTTCGGTCTCGCGGAGAGGGGCGGCCTGGGAGGCGGACGAGTGGAATCCGGCGCGGGCGGCGATGGCGACGGGGGCGGCCGAGTGGATGGCGGCCATGGCGGGGCGCGCGGCGCGAGGAAGCATAGCCATTGTGAAAGAGACGCGACGGCGGTTGGTGATGACGAGGAGGAGGTGGTGGTGATGGTGATGGCGATGACGAGATGGCGGAGGTGCCGACAGTGACTTGGCTGAGGGGATCTTGGCTCTTCGGAAGTGCCGCTGCGATTTGCCCTTGGATTGAGAGGGCGGCAGCCCAGCGTGTTGAGCGACCACCGACTGGCCTCTGCGTTTGGCCTCGGCGTCGGTTCCGGCTTTGCCCTCTCTGCCCTTCGAGGCGCGTGGGAATATACTGGCCGGCTGCCCCGACTACAAATTTCCCCAATCGATCACAAATTCAACCTTTCTTCCGCCCCCGCTGATTGTCTCGTGCGAGTGGTTGTGGCATTTGAGAAGAAAGGGCGCGAACCCAACACCGCAGCCAGCAGCCAACAGCCAGCAGCCAACAGCCAGACAGCCAGCCGTCGAGTGGAGAGGCAGAGCAGCAGAGCGACAGAGAACGCAGCGCAGCGCGTCTGAAAAAACCCGGCTGGACTCAGCCTTCGACTGCCACCCGCAACCGCAACGGCAGCGTGACTCCACCATCTCCACCGCCATCACCCGCTCCGCACCACCACCACCACACAGCAGCGGAATCACCACCATGTCCGACGCAGACACCCTCCAGAACGCCGCTTCGGCACAACCCGCAGACGTCCCAGAGCAGCAGCAGGACTCCGCAGACCTCTTTGGCGGCTTGAAGAAGAAGAAGAAGGACAAGAAGAAGCTTGATCTCGACCTTGACCTCGACGAGAACGACGCCGACAACAAGGATGCAAACGCAGATGCCGACGCTCCCGCAGACGACGACGAGCTCAACGTGCGTTTCTCCCTTTCCTCCCGCCCACTTCTGATGTCCGATGTCCGGTTACTAACCGTCTTCTATCCCCCCC